CCATAGAATTCCACTATAACTTATCAAGCTTAGTAACTAAGATGTATTTTAGTCTTAAAACAATATGAAATGTTGAGCAGACTAAATATTGGTTCAAAAGAAAGAAATGACATTATGTACATTAGAAATGCTGAGAAAACCACTAGGGGACATTCTGAGCTTCCAATTGGTTATTCATGTCATATATAAAAGTAAGTGTATATAAGGGAACGTTTCCAAAAATGTAAAGAGGTGAGCAGGGTGCCACTGTGTTTGATTTATTATGTGAGCAATATCTTAGCAAATAGAAGAGATAAGACCTTCTTATTTTATATTCTAGCTTGTCAATATCTGTAATTTGAGTTTCTAAGTCATTTGAAACTATTGACTTAATATTTTGACTTCACAAACATCTAATTTGAATCAGTGCTGCATTCAACATACCACATGACACACAAAAAAAAATCGATGTTTATTTGTGTTATTTTAATATTTACTTTTAAATTAACAAATTGAGTAATGTATAGTTCTAAAATTTGAAATATAATCTACAGTTTGATACCAAACTCATTGGCATAAATTCATGAAATAGTACTTCAATAAAATGTTGAATGCGAGTCAACAAACGAGATGACATTACCTGTGACCCGTCTCGAAAGTGTTAAAGAAACATCAGATATTTGTAAGAAAGGTGACTTCAAGGGGTAATAATAACATCATTTACACTAGTATTATGATGTTTTTTGCCTTATACAAAATATAGAAGAAACAAATCCACTTTTCAATACCGCTACAAACTTCTCAGTACCATATTTAGTATTCTACAAAAGATTTGGATGCAATGCACCAAGCCAGTTTTGTTGTAGGCTTGCATGAGAATAATAATAATAAGAATTACATACAAGCCATTTTAAGCAGATTTTCTTTTCCTTGCAAGTCTAAAATGCATGCTTTTTTGTGCAATTTTATATCTGTAAAGCCTTAGCAGTCAATAGTGAAGGTTTTAAAGTGTTGTTTGAACTGAATCTTTACTGCTTAAGATGCTTTTTGACCAAATGTTCTATTAGGGTTTTGTGCAATTCATTGTGATCACTATTATGAACACTTTCATGGTTCATGATAAATTTATGCAAAGGATGTAACCTGTGGTAATTGAGCATAACATTACAACTTGATAGTTTCATCATTACATGTGTTATAGAATCTACTTAAAATTTATATTTAGTTGATCTTTGGGAAATTTAAATTATAGCCTACTTCTTTTGATGAAAATGGATTTAAAGTTTAAAATTAGATTTTCATATTATTAAATTTTATAACCTAATTATCTATAAATGTGCATTTCTACTGTATCTGAATATGAACCAAAAAGCTGAGGTAATGTGTAAGATACTTTTTTCTTTTATACACAAAAATTGTTTTCATCTGAAAATTAAAATGTTAAATCTTGTAGTTTGGATATGAAAGAAATTCAGAAATTAGAAGAAAAAAAAAGATAAATTTGGACAATATCAACTATTCCCAATTAAATTGGATATTAAAAATTGCAACTTCAAATTAGTAAGCACAACTTTCATTTTAATAAAGTGTAGTTTGAACAGATAACTGTGCATTCATTATATAAACAAATAAATAGTCATTTTAACATTTTAAATATATAAAGATGGAAATATAAATAAATTTTTGACAGGTTGTTTAGGCAGAGTATTCATAATGAATCTAAGTTTCAAATGGATTTCTACAACTGGCAGTTGCTGTCCATTTGAAACTTAGATTCATAAATAAATTATCATGATTAATTTTAATTAATATACATATAAAATAACTAGGTTTTAAAATTATTTTATACGAAGAATAATTTGGCTATACTAAGACAAAATCCTTACCCCACGAAGAAGTGCATTATGGTTGGAATTGATAAATTTTCCAAGAAGATTCACAAACACTTTTGAAGTTTCTGAAAACTTCAGTTTCAGCACACTAGGTGGAAGCCTGAAATTCAATGGAAAAAAATTTATATATATATATATATATATATATATATATAGAGAGAGAGAGAGAGACACACACATGGCATTGTAATGGTCTAAAACTCACTGCTACAATCAGGGTTCAACAACAAAGTAATTTATTCTACTATACCAACACTTAGCAAAACAGTTAATAAATACATGCCTGGCCAAAGCTTGACACCAATGTTAGTGAACAATATATCATAAATATCAATTATTTCAAATAATGGAATCAGGAAAAAAACAAAGAAAAAACCTAATTTCAAAAAAATACAGCAACACAAAAATACCTTTCAATACTAATAACAATATTGAGAGATAAACAGCAATTCACTAACTGTATTGTTCACTAACTATCTCAGGACTCTCTCTCTCTGTTAGTGAAGCTTCTGGCAGGGTATCTATCCACTAAGTAGGTCACAAGAGTACACCTCACGTGATCATAAATTTACAAAATTTTCTGCTACATTAATAGTATCTATATGTCACCATGAGGGAAGCTGGTGCCACTTTCATCATACATACATATTTACTCAAAATACAAATGATCAGCTAGAAGGTAAGTTAGCATTTTAATGCAACTAAATATTCATAGATAAACTAACTGGTAGAAGAAAACAATAAATGCATGATAAACACAACCATAACCATGAAAAAAAAAATTGCTATTTCTCAACATGTTTCAAATGCTACTTTGTTCAGATAACTGTATGAAACAAACGAAGAAAATGTTGTGAAATTTGATGCATAAATCAATTTGACCACAGAGAAGATACCATACACAGACATATGATATGTTAAGATGATATATCGTGGTCACACCACATGGTATCTTATGTGTATGAATGCAGTTTTGAACAAGTTGTTGCAATGTGTACACTGTCTTTTTCATGGTCAAATAGGTCTACATTCCAAGGTAAACAACACTATGTTCATCGGTCTCTTGAATGCAGTCACACGAACAGTAAAAGTGACTTTTAAAACACTTGGTATATATGAAACCTAAAAAAAATGCTTAACAATTTTTCAGCTTTTAAAATGTAATCTAGTATCTTGAAGTTATTCCTAGAGGAGACACAATTAAATTTAGTTTAGATTGTGATTCCATACAGTAAAAAATAAAAAAGTACACATTACCATATTTACTGAACCATAATTTTTTCTTAAAACTTCCATGCATCTTATAGTTCAAAGGTTACCCCCTGTTATAAAGTCCATGAATGATGTCACTAGTAGTAGAAGAATCAGTGACATTGAGCCTTTGTTCTAAGTCCCTGCACATTATTGTGCAACCTCAGAGTTCAGTAGCATGCACAGAATAAGTAAAACATGTTTCTGGGTTACAAACAATAATCAGTTTGTTGGGTTCTTTCTTTTTGTTAAATCTGATGAGACCCCAATAGGTACAAAACAATAAAAAGGTTTTCTTATAAGCATGACAATAGTGATGAGGACTTTTTGGGCATCTATGAATAATAAAACTTCATGCTTCATTGTTGTTTCAGGGTTTTGCACTGTTGTTTTTGTTCTGGAACAGTATGGTAAAGGTAAGTATTAAATATATACACTAAAATAGTTTTTATACTTATTTCCTTTTAAATGTTGGTGTTTCTTATGGTCCAATGCATATTTTATAGTCTGGGAAATACAGCAGTCTATTTCTAACCAGCAGCAAAAAGTATGATTTGTGTGATGCAATAATAACTTAAAACTATTATTGCTAATTAACATATCTAAAATATCTGATAAGCTATAACATTTGTTTCTTATGCAGGCTTATCTGTAAATCTGATGGGAGCTTGTCATCTTTATAACAAAAGTTACAATTATTTTTTGTCAACTTAGCACCAAAACTGACAACTCCATCCAATATTAAAATGTATAAATAATTTCTAAAATAAAGCCATTTTGAAAAAAAATATATCCAAGAATATTATATAAATGATTTACAATTTATCTGCAAAAGAAGGATGCAGTTTTGTTTTCTTTCACTAAACCCAAATGGATTTTATAAACCACTTGATAAATTTTCCAGAATGTTTTATTTAAAGTACATAAATAACATATCAGATCTCTCATCAGCTGTATTACAAGTTTTAGAATTGATACCTTGTGACTGAAAATTCCACCAAAAGAACCTCAATTTCAAGACAAATGTATCTTCTGACCATATTATCATTTCTTTTTAGTTTCTCAAAGTTTCAAAAGACTTAAAAAACAAATCCACAACAAATTTGTTTTTATGGGAAAAATATTTCTTACAGTTAAAAAATAATTAAAACTTATAAAATAAGGTTATCATATCCTATTCTTGAATTCAGTGACAAGTAGTTGCAAAGATCTAATTTCACGGTAGGTTTGAACAAATTTATTTAAGAGTAGAAATGAGCACTGATTACCAGTACTGAAAAAAATTATGGTATCAAATAGATATTACAAGAGTAGAATATATTGTAACAGCTTCTATAATAATTATATTAAAACTTATGAACATACAAACTATCAAAGCATTTTGGTGTAAACTTCACTTTTTTTCATTAAGTAAAGTAAAACTTTTTTCAGAAAAGATAGCTGAAACATGATGCAAACTTGGTTTGCATGAATAAAACCACCTAAAAACAGCTGCAAAGAACATTACTGTTTGAATAAACATACGTTGGAGGAAATGTTAAGTGCCTAAAAGACAGCAAACACTGAAAATGCTCCACAATGACAAACCAAGTCCAAGGCAGT